AGGCCTGCTGATCGCATGTAGTCATGTCGGTAAGTACTCCATGCAGAGATAGCTCCTGCTGTTGCGTCTGCTCTGCGTCCCTGATCCCGACTAGGCGCTCCGCGTGGTCACTCGCAGCTGGTACTCTTCTTGCGCGTGGTAGGTGGTGGCTTCCATGTGCACTCCTGCTGCAGCAGTTCCCGCGCATGTAAGCTCCTGTTCTCCGCGTCGTCCCACTTGTTGTGCAACGGGATTTGGTCGTTGCGGTCCTTGTCGTTGTCGCTTCTGCCTCGACGCGGGCGATCTGCTGGTCGGCCTCCATGGTCATGTTGTGATAATGTTATCTTCCGCCCGCACTCTCGGCCGCCCCCTCAACTGTCTCTTTGGCGCTCTGGATCTCGGCCAGTCGCTCGTCGCGGTACCTTCGCGTCCTGGTTGCTGCTAAGGCTGGTGCAGCTGAGCTTCTTCTTCTGCCATTCGGACATGACTTTGTTTCCCCCCCCGGGCCCTGGGCCTCGTCGCCGGCGTCGGTCCTGCTTCTTTTCTTTGATGTCGTAGGCCACGCGCTTGTTATCCTCCTGGCAGCGCCTTGGCCCTCTGTGGCTTCCCCGACCCTTGTCTGTCGCCCTGGCGCTGGGGTTGGGATCCCTTCGGAGGGGGCCTCTGGGCCTCCCTCTGGGGTCTGTCGGCCAGATTGTCTGCCGCCTCCTCGTCGCTGCACGGTTCGTCCTTGGCGTTGCCGATGTCCCGTTGGAGAAAGTTGAGCTCCTCGGTCTTGTTCTTCAACTCGTTCATGTAGGTCTGTCTCTGCTGTAGGCGGGCCCTTGAGCCCTCGCAATCGTCCTTCATGGTCTCTTTCGTCGCCTGGATCCCCCTCGCCTGCTGCGCCTGGGACATGCATTGAGGACAATTGCCTCGGTGGAGACGATCTGTGCCACGGCGCCTGTAGAAAGTAATCCTGCTGCACGGTTTTTGGCAACGGCTGTTGCGTCCCGCCCTCTCTCGACGCGCTCGATTTTTCCCAGTCGCCCTTCAGCTTATGGTCGTTGGGCGGCAGCTCCCAGTCGCGTTTCCTGGCGGCGCAGCTCCTCCTGATGGGCATGACATTGTCGATGGCGTTGGCAACGCGGCCAATGTTGTCATGACAGCGTTTTTTGTTATGTTGTGTTGTTCGCTGCCAGGCTGCTGTTTCGCATTGCCCTTGCCCTTGCTTGACTTCTCTTTGCCTTTCGGGGTCCACGCGTCGGGCTCGACGTCGGATTTCGCATTATGTCCTTTACCGTTGTGGTTGCTGCCCACGTCGTTGCGGCCGCTGCTGTTCTAGCTGCAGTCATGGTCAAAATTTGCGTCGGGGTGTTCCTCGGCCGACTGGTCTGTCCATTTGTTCCGAACGGGGGCCCCGACTTTGTGGCCCTCGCTGCCCTCGCCTACGTCGACATCTTGGAGGCGAAAGGAAAACGCGGCACAGCATTGTTCTTGGACTTGAAAGACGCCTTCTGCATGGCTGGGCTGGAATTCCTGTCGATATTGCCAACCGAAGAAGACGACCTGCGCGACCGACTTGACAGCGTGGACATCCCACCTGCGATCCAACCGTGCCTCGAACACACAATGCAGGGAGCTCCGAACATCGGTGACAACCTAGACGACGAGCACCTTGTCGCACTGCTCAGAGATGCTTATACCGACCTCTGGGCAACAACAAGGGGATCGATTCGCATTGCCCAACCGCGGAAGGGGCACTCGACCAGGAGAACCTATGTCTGACGTCCCCTTCAACGTGGCATTCGCAAGGGGCACCAATGCTATAGCGACGGGCGTGATCGGCAAATTGATACAGTATATTATTGACCACGGCAAAACAGCAGTCCCACATTTGCAGGAGGACGCCAACATACCGACGGACACGACAGAGGCAGATCACTCACAGACGCTTCATTTGTTGACGACCTGACTGCATGCGCCACAGCCAACCCCCAGCGGGCAGTAGACACGGCGAGGCCAGGGAAGGGATCTCAACGCCAAGAAGAGCAAGATCAAGCCATTGCTTTCGGCGGCGGTTCCAGGACTGCGAAGGGGTGCGTGGCCAAAGAGGGCATAGCATCACTGCCCGGCAGCTGCGCTGGCCAGGCTGTCGACCTCGCGGTTTCCCAGGGCACTCGGCCAGCCGCGGGGGGCGCGGGCCCCGAGGTCCAACGATGGAGTGCCATCGCTCTGGAAGGCCGAGGGCCACCGCGCAAACATATTTCTGAGTGGAAGACCATCACGACCGACAAGAAGGTATTATACAACGGGTCCTTGGCATTCTCCACCCCGACATGTAACGGCCCTGCATGGGGCGACCTGACCGGCGCCGATCGCGCAGGTCTCGCGATAGAGCGCTCGAAGGGTTATCGACAAGCAATTGGAAACCTTGCCATGGACCAAGCATCAACGCTCAAAACCCTAGCAGCCGCATGCCGCGCGACGTTGCGAGGCGAGCTAGGGGTCTGAGTTGTCTACCGCAACTGCTACTTCGCGGCCCCGCGGTATTATTTCGATTCCTGGACTAGGAGCCACGGCGAGAAACAGGAGGGCCAAACATTGTAAAGGACGACTCCAACGAGCTGCACGAATGCCTTGACGTCGCCGATCAGCCGGCTGAGCCCCGCGAGATACACGAAGCATTGCAAGCAGCAAGAGCATAACCCGACAGGTTTAAGACCATTGTCAAAAAAAAACAGCAACAATACATTCACGACGACACCCAGACCATGCAGACCGAGAGCATGGGCACGGAGCCTTCCAACCACGCCGGAAGGCAGACGACGTGCCACCATGGCCAAGCTTCCCGCTGCCGCCGGAACCACCGACCTGAATGCGCTACCAATGCGGAGCGACCTTCACCAAGAAGAACGCCCACCACGCGCGCCTCGGGAAGCCCCGCAATAACCGCGCACGCCTCGCAAGATGGGCACGCGGCTCCATGTGCTTGACTTGCGGTTGCTAGTGCCATGCGTACGCGAGGCTCGTCAAGCACCTCGAGGCGACGCCATCGTGCGCGGTGCCTGGATGACAGGAGTCCTACCCTACAACGACGACGAGGCACGGCTGAACAAAGATGAGATGCGGGTTTCGCAGCGCGCCAACATCGAGACAGGCAGACCACCCGACTACGCCCACATTTCCATGTACAGGACCAACAGCGCATTACACCAAGGACAAGTTGGCGACTCACGACATGTTTCCACCGTGGAGCGACCAGCTGACGACCGACAGACGGTCAGCCCAAGCATGCCGCAACCTGCGGCACGAAGTGCAAGCTTCGTCCTGCATCTCTACACTGGGCGTAGACGAGAAGGAGACTTACCCTAACGGATGGAGAAATCCAAGCCACCGCAGAATACGCAAGGGCATGCGGACCGACATCGCCAACCGTGCCACTGCGGGAGACCAGGCCAATTGGAATCCGGATGACTTGTGGCTCACCGAGATGAGGGGAGGGAAAATCGCGGCTCTCATGTCTGGGCCACCATGCGAGACATGGAGCGCGGCAAGAACAAGAGACATACCAAATGCCGAGCATCAACCTCGACCACAACGCAGCCAGGACCCTGCGTGGGGCCTGACCTACCAAACGGAGAAGGACCGCGACCATATTTGACACTGGCAACCAGCCCCTGCGAACAACGATGTTCATCATGTTGTGTAGCATGCGCCGCCAGCATGCCGGCAATCATGGGGCCCCCTGTGACTGTCCACGACAGCAGACAGGTACCGGGCAGCTGGCTACGACCTGAGATGCAACATCTACTGCGCCGACCGACCGTGCGGCTCGTGTTTTTCGACCAGTGCATGTTGGGGCAGAAGGCCCGCGAACGTGCGGTCCGATTTGGAATGGGCGCGCCTGGACTCTACGCTTGCGTCTTCACGACGCCGAACAGGTGCAGATACAGACGCGGGCCAGCGGCGCATCCGCCGCTTCTCGGGCGCAGCGAGGACGGCACATGGCGATGCGCAGAGGTTATCGCAATATATTTGCGCCAGGATACTCGCAGCCTCGCTGTCCGAGGTGGCGAGGAGGAGATGGGCGTTGACGTCAGCTGCGCAAGAGTGGCGCGTCGAATGGGCCTACTTGTCTCTCTGCGCACGGCCCGTGCTACGAATGTAGACGCAGCGTGGACTGCTTGAACCATCCGCACCTTTGTCCCAGCCGACCAGTATGGCGCGCCAGCTAGCGCAGCAAGCTCTGGCACCTCCGATTGCCGCGCCTACGCGACTGACAGGGATTCGTAAGACAACTGTGCTTCCTACGTGCCTCGGGGCAGGTTCCCTGATGGGCGCTATCTCGACTAAACCTTGATCCGCGTCTACCTGGGGGGCGCTGCCCCCCGAGGTCGACAGGTGACGCGCCGAAATGATCATGCAGAGCAGAAAAGACATCTTAGATCAGATTTCCACCTTGCAACTTCCAATCCCCCCCCAGCATAATCAGATTTGCAGCGTATGGCTCGAGGTATAGGGACTTCACCAGTGCCGACCTTGAGCCGCGCAGTTCGCTATGAACGCGCCCGCCATGGGGCCGGCGGTCGACCTCGACTGGGATCGACAGCTCGGCAGTGGGATCGAGCCATGCGTCGCGACGATCGACTGCAAGGTCTTCAATCTACGGCCTAAGAGAACATTCACAAGGGACTCCTGCGTCGGGATCACCGAGGGCATCAAGGATTTGACTTCCGAAAACGTAGAAAGTGCACAACGGCGACAATAACGTGGAAGACGCGGCATGGCACCGACCGAAGCGTCAGAGTTCCAACGGGGGGGCCGACCGCGGTTACTACGCGGCCAAAGTGTCCGACCTGGCATGGAGCTCCCTCACTGCGTCTTTACCAGACCGAGAGCTGACATGAATGCAATCCAAAACGCTATCCAAGGAATACACCTGCGCGGCGCTTGAAGGCGGACAGCTGTTCACCCCGACGAACGCGCCGAGATGGGAGTCCATCGCGACCACTCCGCCCTCCAGCTCGGCAGCAACACGCGTCCAGCAGCAGCAGCAGCAGCAGCAGCAGCAGCATGTCGTCCACCTGCACGCCGGAAGTCCCGTCCTCGAGCTCAGCGCTGCACTCGCAGTCGCGACCGTCCAAGGCGAGAGGATCTGCGAAACCGTCGACGACCTTGTAGACTGCCGAGCCATCATGAACACCATCTCCATGAGGAAGCTCGGCCTTCATCCCGCCATCGGCGCACGCGGACCCGTCCACGCTCAGCGCCGCGGCAGGCGGCACGGGTGGCCGCTCCTGCTGCGCCGGCAGCGCAGCGAGCTGCAGGCCAGCAGACGCGCCTCCACACTCAGCATACTCCGCATCGGGATGGTGGGCCCCGCCCACGGGAGCGGCCGCCGCCAGCACCTGCAGCAGCGCGTCCACCTGCTCGTCGGCGGACTGCCACACGACGACGTGGGCAAGAGCACCAGGCACGAACACTGGGGCGGTGAGGTTCAAGCCGTCGGCCCAACCGCGGACATCACAGAAGCCTCGGCGCAGCACACCTCGACGATGCACTCCACGGGAGGCCCCCTGAACGCCACCAGGTTGTCCAGCCTGGCCCCTTTGGCCGCACCCCTTAAGGACGGCCCACCAGCCGTGGCGATGCTGTCGATGCCTTCTGCCACCGCGTGGAGCGCCACGTTCCTCCGCAGTCGGCGCAAACCCGAGGACCTGCGGCCGTTGACCAGGTCGCGCAGCGCGGGGACCAGCGCCAGGATCCTGTCGCCGATGTCCCCGTCCGCGAAGGCCGACGCGAACGCGTCCTGCAGGAACTGGCATTCCTTCCGCGCCACCTCGAGCTCCTTCGACAGACGCCCGACCAGGTTGTCAGCGGCAGCGCGCGCTGTCGCGGCGCCGCGCAGCGGCCCCACCCGAAGGCGGCCCTGCCGGGGCGCGTCCCGCAGCCATGCCGTTCCGGCCCTCCCCGGCGCCGCCGCCTCAGGCCGCCAGCGGAGCGCCGCCGGCCATGGGCGAAAACGCAGCAGAGACAGCGGAGGAACGCAGCTTGAGCCAGAATGGCTACGGAGAAGGAGGAGAAGAAGGAGGAGGAGGAGGAGGAGGGGGGTGGGAGGAGAGAGCGGAGAGGAGGGAAGAGATGGCTGCATGGGCAGCCGGTTCCAGGGGGGCATGAAAAGTGCGCCCGCGGCGGCGCAAAGGCTGGCCAGCTGTCATGGGGATGTCACCATCATGTAATATGTGAAAGAGCGTGTTCTACCGCTGCTGGCGGAAAACCGGGGGGGGTCATTACCGGTTTGAACCCCTCCCCCCCCCCCTCCGGAAAACCGGGGGGGGGTCACTGCCGGTTCGAACCCCTCTCCCCCCCCCCCCAGTTCATCATGAAAAGGGGGGGGGGTCACTACTGGTTCAACCCCCCCCCCCCCTCGAGCTCGAAAACCGGGGGGGGGTCACTACCGGTTCGAACCCCCCCCCCCCCTCGAAAACCGAGGGGGGGTGCGGACAGTGGTGGGGACGGTGGTGGTGGGGACAGTGGTGAGGGGACAGCGGGACAGTGGTGGGGACAGTGGGACAGTGGTGGGGACGGTAGTGGTGGGGACAATGGTGAGGACAATGGTGGGAACAGTGGGGACAGTGGGACAGTGGTGGGGACGGTGGTGGTGGGGACAGTGGTGTGGGGACAGTGGGAATGTGGTGGAAACAGTAGGACAGTGGAGGGTACAGTGGTGGTGGGGACAGTGGTGAAGGCGGTGGCGAGGACGGCGGTGGGACAATGGGACAGAGGTACAGTGGGGACAGTGGTAGGGACAGTGGGGACAGTGGTGGGAACAGTGGGACAGCTCAGTGGTTCGAACCGGTAGTGATCCCCCCCTCCGGTTTTCGAGGGGGGGCTCGGTTTTAGGGGAGGGGGGGGGGGAGGGGGGGGGGGGGCCGGGGGGGTGGGGGGGGGGGAGGGGTTCCAGCAGGGGGGGGGATTTTCGGAGGGGGGGGGACCCCCGGGTTCGGGAGGAAAAGGGCGGCAATTTTCCACAGTAAAGCGGCGGTGGATCACGCTCTCTCTAATATGTGGACCCGTAGCTGCAGTATGGGTAGACAGAGCCCGGAACAAAATGCGAGCCGACGGACAGCAAAGACGGGCACGACACACGGTTTACCGTTGCGCTGCAGTGTTCCGCTCCCTTGTCCCTCGGAGTTGCACTGCGTTGTGCTGTGGTCACTGCTCAGCGCCTCTGCTCCGGGTGAGTCACGGCGCAACTGAGTCGTGTAGCCTCGGGATGGGGGAGCATCCAGGCTGCCCGAGTGGTATCGGATGAGGCGCGGTCGGAGCATCGCGCCGCATCGCCAATGCATCGGTGACGTGGCTCGATCCAGAGCTCGAGTTTCTCCACCTCGACGTGCTCGGGATTCGCCGGCGATGCGATGCCATCCTCTGACCCCGCCTGCTCGGACCCCATCTGTGAGGCCTAGAGAGACAGGAGGAAGAGGAGGAGCAGGAGCAGGAGGAGCAGGAGGAAGAGGAGGACGAGGGAGGAGGAGGAGGAGGAGGAGGAGAGGAGGAGGAGGAGGAGGAGGGGGAGGAGGAGCAGGAGAGAGGAGAAGGAGGAGGAGGAGGAGGAGGAGGAGGAGGAGGTAGGAGGAGGAGTTAGGAGAGGAGTAGTAGGAGGAGGAGGCGGAGAGGGGAGGAGGAGGAGGAGGAGGGTAGGAGGGAGGCGGGCGGCCTCCACAACCAGGGGGCCCTCGGCCACCCGCGGGGCTCGCGGTAAGAGCCGCGCCTTCTTCGCGCGCCGCGGTCGGGGCCACGGCAGCTGCCCTGCCCCAGGGGGGGGGGGAGGGGGCTCCTCCTCCTCCTTCTCCTCCTACTCCTCCTCCTCCTCCTTCTCCTCCTCCTCTCCTCCTCCTCCCTCCTCCTCCTCCTCCCCCCCCCATCCTCCTCCTCCTCCCCCCCTCCCTCCTCCTCCTACCCTCCTCCTCCTCCTGCTCCCTCTCCTCTCCCTCCTCCCCTCCCCTCCTCCCCTCCTCCTCCATCCTCCTCCTCCTCCTCCTGGAGATGGCGCGAAGAGGGCCGCGCTACCCCCCCCCTCCCGCCCGTTTTCCATTTTTCGGGCCTCCTGGGCGGCCCTCGTAGCCACCGCTGGATTCGCCTCGAAATTTGAAACTTTGGTCAGGGCGCACCCCAGGAGAGGTCCGGGGAGTAGCAGTATGGGTACCTTTGGGTTTCCCCACGCGCGTCGCGCATCGATCAGGCGATCGCAAACACGGATCAAGGGTTGTGGGCAACGATCTATGGAGAGGAAACGTGTTGCCAAATAGTTGCCCGATGTGTAAACATGTGTTAAGCATTTCTGTAACATGTGAACACCATATTTAGAATATCGTTCGGACATTTTTCAAACATTATAAGCACATTTGTAATTCGATGGTCGGATTGTCCATTGCCATGACATCCACAAATCAAGGGGGCGTGGATCTCCGCCGCCGAACGAGGCGGCACTGGCTGCATTTTGGGGAGGGCACCTCCCCCGATCCACGGACGTGGCGACCGCGCGCCAGATCCATGGATCGCTCATCCATGTCTGCGCCCCCCGAATAGAGGGGCGCAGTGCGCGAGGCGATGCGACCGACGGTCCCGCTGATGAGTAAGAAACCTCCCCCCGAAAAGCTGGCCCAGCATTTCTGAACCAACTTGCCGGAAAGCTGGCTCGGTTTCTTAAGGGGATTGTATTGGTAGCCTTGGACCCTAGAAGTGAGTAGTGCACGTTCCTGGCTCCAAAGGCTGGCCCAGCGTCTCCTTGAGACATTTTTTGAAAAGCAGGCCCAGCGTTCTGAATTGATAATTGTCTTAATCATATTTTTTGTCGGCGCCCCCCCAACATACTTATACTATGTTTTCGTCGACCCTCCCAGGGGCGACGAGCGCACCGAGAAATCTTCTAGGATATGCGTCGTGGCGGGCGCTTTCTGGTCACACCGCTCGAGAAACGATATAATACAATATGGGTATACTATAGGTTCGAGTCGGACGCGCGCCTCCAAGGCGTTCCATCTAATACAAGATGGGTATACTATACGTCTCTGTGCGTCCCATGTTTGACTGCACGTTGGGGGGGGTGTTCGCTGCCGCCCTGCGCCCTGTCGTGTCTGTAACTCGGCGCGGCTCGGCACAGTCCTGCTGCAGGGCAGCGGCCGTCGTCCGCTCACAAATGGGGGAATTGGGGGCACGAGCAGCGGCGCGGCCGTCGCTCGCCGCGCACTCTCCGCAGGAGGAGCAGGAGGAGGAGGAGGAGGAGGAGAAGGAGGAGGAGGAGGAGGAGGGAGGAGGAGGAGGAGGAGGAGGAGGAGGAGGAGGAGGAGGAGGAGGGCGAGGAGGAGGGCGGAGGGTGGTACACTCGGTGGTCGCGCTTATTACACTCAGGAGGGCTCGTTTAGCGTGTCGCTCCGTCGGTTCCGGCCCACCACGCTTCGGCGCGACACAGTCCTCAGGCGTCAACGCTCCGAGCCTCTCCGAGCCTCCCGTCCCGCGAGGCGGAGCAACACGCCATCCGCTCTCAAGGCGTAGGTACAGCGTGTCGCTGGGGCCGCCGCCGCGATACGCTAAACAAGCTTCTTCCGACCGTCAAGAGGAGGAAGTATGAGCAGCAGGGGCAAGGAAGGAGAAGGGGGGCGAGAAAGTAGGAGAGGGGGGAGGGGTCGAATTACTGCCCCCTTCTTCGACGCCAGGAATCGCGATCGAAAGTGTGCCCTCCAACTCTTCTTCAAGAGGACTTCCTGGAACTGGATCATTGGGGTTAAGAACCGCCGAGATGCGGGCTATCGCCGATGGAGGCCTGGTGATGCTGCAACTTCTTAGCTAAAATGGGGGCCCATACAAAGGGCTTACCTTCCAATGCTAGCAGTCTCGCAAAATCACCTGCGAAGCTCCTGGACCTCAGGAACATCATCATTGATAGTCCCTGCAAGCGCTGGCGATTCGCCTTATCAGGACAGCAGCAGTGAACGGAGCACAGTGGTCGCTAGCACATCACACAAGGCAGGAGGGTAGACCTTTTTAGGCGATGTCTCCACCTTTTTCCAACACCTTTTCCCAACCCGCAGGAGCCGCGTGCGCATGAAGCCCGTGAGAACAGACGCCCCCCCCTGGCTGGCATGCATCAAGTCAGGTAACTCCAGAAGTCTTACGGTCAGGAACTTTGGCATAGCGTGTCTCGGGGGGCCCCAAATGGTGTGGTGACCACACCGTGTGGTGAGTTGATGTGGATTCGGAGTCACCGCACGGTTTTTTGGGACTCGTGTCGTTCTCTGAGGATGTCTCGGGCGGCTGGGGCATCCGAGGTCCCCAAACCGTGTGGTGACGGACCCTGCGTTGAGGTCTTTGCAGGTATCGAGATCACCGTTGGGTCTGTCACCGCACGGTTTTAGGACCCCCAAGTGTCGCTCCGCCGGTTCTGGCCCATCACGCTTCGGCGCGGCATTGCTATCCACGTCCCAGTCCCCGAGCGTCGATGTCCCGAGCCTTTCCCAGCCTCCGGCCTCGCTTGCAAGGCAAATAGCGTGTCGCTGGGGCCGCCGCCGCGACACGCTAAGCAAACGCTCCTGACCGTAATTCGTAGCAAGGCAGTGGGATCACGACCGATACTCGCATAGAGATCTGAAGCTGTCTGAGACGCAAGGGGAGCACCGCAAAGCGCTGTCAAAGGCAAGACGGTCAACGAGCGATCACTTCGGGGCTCCTCGCAGGCAGGCGGAGCAGGATGCCCCATCCATGCACCACCTCGACAAGCAGCTATGGCGGTGAGCAGCTCTACCATCGACTGGGGAAGATCGTAAGCGACCATAGCCTGAGCCTACCTAGGGGGCCACATGCGAACCCTACCCCTGCCCCCCACGATTTCTGAGGGGGAGGGTGGGGTTCACTTCGTTCGGGAGCTCCCGAGCGAAGTGAACCCCCCCCCCCCCTCAGAAATCGTGGGGGGCAGGGGTAGGGTTCGCATGTGGCCCCCTGCTACGGAGACCCAGCCACCTGCGACCGCTTGGGTTGCCGCCGAGTTCTCCCTATAGCGACGCGATCCGCTCTTCTCTCGGGCGTGCTGTGCAGACGTGCGGCCGCGTCTTGCTCGCGCGAGTGGGACATCGCCTCCCGAGGGGCAGCGGATTGTCACTTCTTGGGGGGACAGACAGCTTAGCCTTAAGTCGGGCCTGTCCCCCTACAGGGGGATTTTCGACGAAAATAAAACATCCCCCACAAATAGTCCAAACATAATCCAAAAATAGTCTGGGGACTATTTTTGAATATTTGTTTGACTTTTTTGGTGCATTTTTGGGGTATTTGTTCGGATTTTTCGTCGAATATCCTCCTGTAGGGGGGCACGCCCGACATAAGCTTAGCCTTCACCTACCGACGTGGCGCGAGGCTGGTGTGGCTCCCCACGGTGCCTGCCAAGCTGCGCAGGGAGGCGCCCCCCTTGCCCCCACCGGGGGCAGCACAGAACATCTCACAAGGGTCAAGCGGGGACTGTCCCTTTACACGAGGAGTATTCGAACATAACAGAAAACAGTATAGGTGACGATTTTTCTAGTATTGTTAACTCTTTTTGAATATTTATTGAGTCTTTCGAAGTTTTCCTCCGAGATCCGTCTGTAGGGGGACATGCCCGACCTAACACAAGGGCCCCCTCCCATGGCCACAACTCTCCCGGCGCTATTTTTTCACCAAGGTCTGCACCGAGCTGTTTCTGTTGCAGGTCTCCGAGGCTGGAGCCGAGCAAGATATCAGGTGGCAGCACCACAACTTCAGACGAAGGGGGTGTTCCTCGCGAGCGAAAGCTCGACTGCATGCTGGATGTCGCCTTCTCGCCTTCGGCCACAGACGGGATTCGCAATGAACGCCTGTTGGCGCAAGATGCGCCTCGGACATCTCTCAGCCCAAAGTCTGGAACACGAATTGCCCAAGAATGGCTATTCGACTTCGGAGGGGATTTGGTCCCAAGCCAATTCAGGCCCCTCCAAATCCTGGGGCGCAGGAGACTGGTGGGACCTCCCTGTGATTTGGTCTGCGGTCCGCAAAGGATTCAGCTGCCTGCGACAAACTCCGCCACCGTGACAGTGCAGCATCGCAGCAGCACAGCAGCGAAGCGGAATTGAGGTGTCCTTCATACCCGCTCAATTTCAGAGCGGGTCTTGAAAACTCAGTCATTGTCCGCAGCCTCGCTCTTTTCTTCCCTCCTCCTCGCTCCTTCTCCTTCTCCTCGCTCCTCCTCCTCCTCCTCCTCCTCCTCCTCCTCCTCCTCCTCCTCCTCCTCCTCCGCCTATGAGGGCCTTCTGGGGGCCTCTTAGGGGCATGCTGGGGGTCTTGGAGCCAATATTTGAAAGAAACGCTACCACGGCCAGTTCGAGTTCGCCTTCTTGAACTCGTCTTGGGGCTTTCCGGGAGGCCGCTTGGGCTGTCTTAGGGTCCTCTTCGGCCTCCTTCAGGTCCTCTTGGGCTGAGTGCGTGAATCGAGGGCGTAGCTGGGGAGAACCAGCCTCGACTCCAGACATGGAAAACTGGCAGAGCGAAAATGTTGCTAGTCGCGGACCAACGGCATCCGCTGGAATCGCTGGGAAACCTCAATCTTGAGCCAACATGGCTGCGTACGGGGAGGCGGAGGATGCGGAGGACGAGGAGGATGACGCTGGGATGATGCTGCTTCGATCCAGCGCCCGATGGAAGGCTCGAGCATGGACGGCGCGCCTTCTGCAGCACCGATTGCTGCGTGCAGGCGAGCGCGTGGAAGGAGGGCAGCACGCACGAGGCAAGACATGCGGCACCTCTGCTGCGACAGCTGTGTGAGAACACGAGGGCACAGTCACGATGCGAGCTGCAGCTATCTTTAAGTCGGGCCTGTCCCTCTACAGGAGGAACATTCAAACATAGTCCAAACATAGTCTGGGGACGTTTTTTGTATTCTCGAGCATCTTGGAGCATTTTTTGACAATGGCTTGTTTTTCGTCCAAGATCCGCCTGTCGGGGGACATGCCCGACCTAAAACTATCTGTCCCCATCCTCAACCTTCGGCGGCCCAGCCAGGCACGAGTGACATGTGCAGTGTGCGCGCAGCCTGCCACGAGAAACAAAGACCACCTTCAACCGAATGCAACACAGCTTTGCGAGGACGAGGCAGCTCGTGACCCACGTACTGCAGCAAGAACCTGGACGGCAGCGCGTGGTGATCGCACCCATCCACACGTTGAGGACACCAACCAACCACAGAAACTTCGATTTGGACGATACTGCAATGGAAGGTTGAGCAAATTATAGGAATATATAGGAACATGAACACCCACCAACACCTTGAATTAAAACGTAGAGCGCGAAGGACAGCGGCATGTGCCTTACTTGCCACGCCTGGCCTGGGCCAGGCTAGCCAATGACGCCACCTCTTCACGTGCATGCTGCTGTCGACCTTGCAGCCGAGCTCCGCGCCTGCACCGCCTTGGACCTCAAGGGTCCTCGCATCCTGCCACTGGTGGTGGCATCGGCGTTGGCCTCTCGCCACCTGGGCAACGATCGGGGGGGACTGGCATAGGGGGGGGATGCATCGACCTGGAACCAGCGATACATCTTACCAGCCTGGAACATATCCCTATCCCTATGCTGGGCACCTCCTCATCACGACGCCAATCTTAGGGATTCCCTTGTTTTTTGAGGGCGAGTCCCTCAGACTGTCATCGCCTCTTGGCGTGTCACTCGTAGGGATAGGGATACGTTCGAGGCCGGTAAGCATCGCCTATGCATGGGCGACAGGCACCCGTGAATCCGCACCTCCCCGTGCAGGTCGGGGCCATCGGGCCCCCCTCGGCGATCATTGGGCCACGTGGGGCCGATGCAGCCGCGGGCCCCCTCTCGCCGGGCCGCCCGCCTCCGCGCTCGGGGCTGCGCAGCCCGGGCCCCTCGCGCGTCCGCGGCACGGGTCGCCCCCGGCTCCAGGAGGTGGAGGAGGAGGAGGAGGAGGAGGAGGAGGAGGAGGAGAACGAACGAACGAGGACGAGGACGAGGACGAGGGCGAGGACGAGGACGGCGAGGTGGAGGCGGAGGAGGATGAGAGAGGAGGAGGGAGGAGGAGAGGAGCAGGAGGGAGGAGGAGGAGGAGGAGGAGAGGAGGAGGGAGAGGGAAGATGAGGAAGAGGAGGGGGAGGAGGCAGGAGGAGGAGGAGGAGGAGGAGGAGCAGGAGGAGGAGGTGTCAGCATGGCCTCGCTGCGGCTCGGGACGTCGATGCCACCTCGAAGTCTGACGGCCTAACTCGGGGGGGCCGGCTGGACGCGAACCTGCCGCCCACCCTTATCGAGGTGGCTGACGAAGAGGAGGAGGATGAGGAGGAGGACCAGGAGGACCAAGAGGACTTGGAGAAGGACAGTGAGGAGGAGGAGGAGGAGGAGGAGGAGGAGGAGCAGGAGGAGGAGCAGGAGGAGGAAGAATAGGAGAAGCAGGAGGAGGAGGAGGAGGACGACGACGACGACGACGTTGACGTCGACGTCGTCGACGACGACGACGAAGGAGCTTCCCCTGGAGATGCATCTGGTCAGAATGGCACTGTGCTGCGCTCCTCCCGCAGAGGCCTCGGAACCCCCTGAAGGAGTGGCGCGATGCGGGGTACCCGCTCTACGACAAGGACAACAAGGGGTCGAAGGCCGCCTGGAGGCTGCCGAAGGAGCTGAAGGGCTCGAAGGACCGGCGGCGAGCGAGGGGGCGAAGTGAGAATCGGGGGCGGCCAGGAGGGGGGTGATGACTAGGGGGGGCGGATATCATGGCGTGGGCCATGATACTTCCCCAGATGTTATTGCGCGCCTCTTCTCGCAGTGATTTGCGCCCCTCCTCTTGGACGCCCCCCTCTTGGCCGCCTCCGAGAGAAGGAGAAGGCCTTGTCGGAAGGCTGTGGGACTTCTCAGTAGCCCATCGGGCCTCCTGAAAGGCTTTCTCTACGTCTCCGGGGAAGGCTCAGAAGACTTCTTAGAAGGCGGGGGGACTTCCGAGCCTTCAAGTCAGGCGATCGCAAACATGGATCAAGGGAGCGTGTGTGAGCGACTGGTCCCGTTTTCATGGGAAATCGCGGTTTCCCGCCGCCGAGCGAGGTGGCACCGGCCGCATCTTCCCCCCCGATCCATGGACTTGGCGACTGCGCGCCAAACCCATGGATCGCTGATCCATGTGTGCTCGCCCCCGAGAGAAGGCCCAGAAAACTTTCCAGAAGGCTGGGGAAGGCTCGTTGTGCTTGACATCGCGTGCGGCGTTGTCGGCTTGCCCAGAGGTGCTCCGTCTCACGGCTCGATGCCAATCGTTCAGGGCTCGTTGTTTTTTTGAGGAAAGAAGTTGTTTAAAAGAAGGCTGTGGAAGGCTCAGAAAACTTTCTCTGCGTCTTCGGGGAAGGCTCAGAAGACTTCTCGGAAGGCAGGGGGACCTCTTCGCTGCCCTCTCGAGGAGGCCCCCGCCCCCCTTCGCTGCCCCCCCCGCGCTCGCCGCCACGAAAGGAGGACTGGATGTTCGGTCTGCGCGAGGCGCTGGGCGGCAAGGAGGGCCAGCTGCTGGACGAGGCGAAGGACGGCTGCCGGGGAGCGAGCAGGGGCAGGAGCAGGAGCAGGAGCAGGAGCGGGAGGAGGAAGAGGACGAGGAGGAGGAGGAGGCGGAGGCGGAGCCGGAGCCGGAGGAGGCGGAGGAGGAGGAGGCGGAGGAGGAGGAGGAGGAGGAGGAGGAGGCGGAAGACGAGGTCGAGGAGGCAAGGAGGACACGGTTACCCACCGGTCGTTGAAAGCAGGTAGTTTGGGATTCCCAGGTTCCAGCCTGCTTTAGGCGCCCTCCTACTTCAGTGACCGAGTGGGGCTACATCTTTTCCTTCCGGTTGAAGGGGCGGGCGGAAACCGGATATATTTTCAGCGCCTTCCGCGGCGATGTCATGTTTCTACCTACTTCTTCCAGCCGATGGGTATGGCGTATGGCGCATGGAGATGGGCTCGCGGGTTGGATTGTTCTGGAATGAGTCTCCTCGATGTTGCAGGCAATGCAATCCAGAATTTCTGCGAGCTGTCCATGTTTGGATATTCATCCTGTACATGCCACGCTGCATTCAAGGGGATCCCTGACTGTAACACCAGGTTGCCCTCGGCTTGGCCCCCCCTCAACCGTGTTGGAGCCTAGGCCAGAGAAAGAGGCGGAGGAGAAGTATGGGCCTGCTTGGGTTTGTTCTTCTCGGCTCCGAATTGCAGACGCCAGCCTCTATTCAACGCCCACCGCCAGCCTCTCTAGCCTTTCCTTTGCTCTTTGGCTCGCTGCCCTCTGGTGTGGTTGAATGCTGCTGCACCTCGCCTGTCCTTACTACAGTTACCCCGCATAGTAAGGATGAGTGACTCTCCAAGGCTACCCTCGCATCCTTCCCCTTCGGCGCATACTTGGCCGCTTTCGCTGGCCGCGCTCCGCCCGCAGAGTGTCGACATGGCCTTCCAAGGCCCTCGCGTCCTTACCGTGCGTCCTTATCAGTCTGGGGCCAGTCTGGACTGACCCTGGGTAGCTCCAGAGCCTGGAGTGACTCGGACTGACCGTGCAGACCGACCCTGGGATGACCCCGAACGGACCCTAGACGGATCAAAATCAGCGCAGCCGAGCTATATAGGAACTGAGACTGTGAGCAGACTGCTCTGGTCTCTGGAATCACGAGAATCGGTGACCTAAACTCCCGATCCAGTTCAGCCGAGAACTCGTTCCACCGATTCGATTTTCAACGAGCGGGGAGAAACCCTCGGAGGACTCGTTTTTCCAGTCTTCGTTTTTCCCTACCTAGGCTCTGCCTAGAAGGTTTCTTACTCTGTTAGCTAAAGGGGCCGGGCAATGGAAACCGCCCCGGGCGGTTCCCCCAGTCCCCGCCCCGCGGTTCCCCAAGTCCCTTGGGAGCTTTAGCCTTAGCTTTAGCTTTAGCTTAGCTTTAGCTTTAGCTTAGTGTTAGCTTAGCTTTAGCTTAGTTTTAGCTTAGTGTTAGCTTAGCGTTAGCTTAGCGTTAGCTTAGCTTTAGCTTGGCTTTTGCTTAGCGTTAGCTTAGCTTTAGCTTAGCTTTAGCTTAGCTTTAGCTTAGCGTTTGCTTGGCTGTAGCCTAGCTTTAGCTTAGTGTTAGCTTAGTGTTAGCTTAGCCTTAGCTTAGCTGTAGCTTAGCTTTAGCTTAGATTTAGCTTAGCTTCAGCTTAGTGTTAGCTTAGCTTTAGCTTAGCTTAGCTTTAGCTTAGCTTTAGTTTAGCTTTAGCTTAGCTTCAGCTTAGTGCTAGCTTAGCGTTAGCTTAGTGTTAGCTTAGCCTTAGCTTAGCTGTAGCTTAGCTTTAGCTTAACTTTAGCTTAGCTTTAGCTTAGCTTCAGCTTAGCTTTAGCTTAGCTTTAGCTTAGCTTTAGCTTAGCTTTAACTTAGCTTTAGCTTTGATTCAGCTTAGCTTTAGCTTAGATTTAGCTTAGCTTTAGCTTAGCTTCAGCTTAGCTTTAGCTTAGCTTTAGCTTAGCCTTAGCTTAGCTTTAGCGTAGCTGTCGCTCGGCTTCAGCTTAGCGTTAGCTTAGCTTTAGCTTAGCTTTAGCTTGGCTGTAGCCTAGCTTTAGCTTAGTGTTAGCTTAGTGTTAGCTTAGCCTCAGCTTAGCTTTAGCTTAGCTCTAGCTCAGTGTTAGCTTAGCCTCAGCTTAGCTTTAGCTTAGCTTTATCTTAGCTTCAGCTTAGCTTTAGCTTAGCTCTAGCTTAGCTAGTTTAGCTTTACTGTTACTACTAATGCTGCTTTCCTAGGGGCTCCAACTCCTAGGTAGGGTCGCACTGGGATAATTGTGTTGTTCTCTGTTTTTCTGTTGTTTCTGCTTCCTGAGAAGTGTTCGGAGCCCTCCCCGAAGACACATAGCACTTGTCTGAAGGCCACGGGGCTTCTGAGAAGTCCCGCCGCCTTCTGAGCAGGCCTTCTCCTTCTCACTCCCCCCCCTCGCTCGCGACCTATTGTTGGCGTTACCCCAAGATGCCACCACTGTGTGTGCGACGCCCCCCCCCACCCCCCAGGGGGCGACACGCGCGCCGAGAAAAACCTAACATGTTATGCCCGGCGGCGGACGCTTTCTGGCCAGGCCGCTCGGGAAACGATCTACCACAAGATTTCGTGCTACGTGTATGGGTCCTGACCTTCCAGGAGGGCTAAAAAATAGCACTCGACGTAAAAACCTATCCCAGAGCTATTTTACGTCTTGGTTTTAGGCTGTTTCGTATCGTTTTTTGGGTTTTTAGGTTTCCAGTGCTAAAAAATAGCTCTCTGGAAGGTCAGGGGTGGGGCGCACGGCTCCAACACGCGTCCCAGCTTGGGGCAGCCCCGCAAAGGGAGGGCAGCGGGGGCGGCCGATCGGCGGCCGGCAGCCTGCGGGGCGGGCCTCGCAGGGCCGAAGCCCTCAAGGCCGGGCCCGCCTGGCCCGACCGGGGCCTCTTGACTCCAGAGGGCCCACCTCAGAGCTCGCTGACTTCGGGTTAAGTCGGGCACGTCTCCCTACTGGAGGAGTATTCAAAACCAGTGGAAAACTAGATTGGGGACGATCTGTTGACTTGGAAACAAATGCTTTGGGGTATATTTTGACTCTGTTGTATCTTTCGTCTAAAATCCGCCTGTAGGAGGACACGCCCGACCTAAACTTAGGGGTCCCTGTAAATCGGGCGCACGATCGGAATCAATCGCTCCAGAGCGTTCCAGAACGCTCTCAGAGCGTTCTGCAACCCTGCTGGGAAGACCGCGGCGCCCGAGATACATCCCTCAGGACCGCCGGACCTCAGAGATTCTCGATGCATCCCGATCCTGCCTCCGTGCAGCTACGCGCAGAGGGGGGTAGTCAGGGGGAGGGGGGAAGGCCTCTCAGAAGCACCCCCTGCCTCTCAGGAGGCGCTTGCCTCGTCCATCGATGCAGGCCGGCGCCTTCAAAGCGGCAGGCATCCTCCCAAGAAGCCGTCCCCCCTTCCCCTCGAGGGGGCCCAGGAGGGTCAGGAGCGGGGCGGCGGCGGCGGCGGCGAGGCGGAGCTGCGGGCGCCACGTGGTCTGTGGTGTTTCACGGGCCCGCCCGCGCTCTCGTGCTGCCCCCAGCCCGCGCAGGGCGAGGGACCGCCGGGCGGCATTCACAGGCGGATGCAGCCAGGAAACCAGGTAAGGGGGAGCCAGAATTCGATGGATGTATCCTATCGCCGCGCTGCTTTCGTCGGTTTCTCCGACAGCACGAGCGCCGCAGCGAGACTGCAGACGATTGAAGAATACGTCAAGCAGCATGTAGGAGCGAATTCTTTGAGCACGGGCAATGTTTATGAAGGCCAAGTGGGTAATCAGACCTTGTCTCCGGCTGGAGACAGTTCGGGATTGGGCCCCGACGCCCCAAGGACTGACCAGAATCGCTGACACAAGTCTGCCGGAGTCGGGGCCTCTTCGGGTGGGGGCAGCTGCGGTTGGTGGAATAATGGGGCGGGGGAGGCGTCCCGCGGCGCACCTCCCGGAACCGGGCCCCACGGCCTTCAATCCCGCCAGCACCCGACACAGGTCGGCGGGCGAGATCGATCAGGGGCAACCCATCGCTGCCAGCTTCCCCCCTGTTGCCTCCTGGCGTTTCCCCCCGCCCGCCCCTGCGTGGCCTGCGTGAAGAAGGGCGGCTCTGACTGGCGGGAGACGGCCTGGGTTTGGGGGGGACGCATCGGCCCCCCATCGCCGGTCCGTCGCCGATGGGGGCCTGTCCGCGCCGCTCAGGAGCGCTCGGTGTCGCTATCGGGGGCCTCTCGCCGACCTGTCGGCGCTGTGTCGGGGGTTCCTGGGCCGACCATTCTGAAGGGGCCCTGGGACACACAAATAAATACACACACACATAAAAAGATTCCCCTATATTTTCCTATATTTTCTCGGTTTTTGTCTTCCCCCCCACTTCCCATATTTTCCAATATTTTCGGGGGAATCGCCGATTCATTGTGTCTGTGTGTTTCTTTCCCTCCTGACATTACCCCTCTTAGCCAGCTGGCCCCTGACGTTGCCCATCAGGTCGAGTCGAGATGGGGAGGGCTTCCCGCGCCGCGCATGCGGGGCGAGGCGAAGCTCCGCGGGAGCGAGAGGGGCGCTTGCGGAGCTGGGGCCATGCCGGGTGAGGGCGCTTCAGCCCCGCGTGCCCCGAGCGTGCGTCCCGTCGGTCCCGTTGTTGCCCTGTGCGTTGTCCCGCGCAGCGCGTGTGTCCCGCTGTCTCGTTGCCCCGCGGTTATTTCGGTCGTGGCATAGTTCGATCAATTGCTAGTTGAGTCAGAGCAGTCAGGCTGCGCAGAAGAGTTGCCTGTAATAGACGAGTTGTGCGACTTACGACGGCTCGGATGGCTAGATTGTTGGAAGGGTTGGTTGACACAGGCTGGCTCATTCTGGCGGCCCGTGTTGTGCCATCGTTGGCGTTTGCCTGCGCGTTCGTGACCTCTTGGGGCCTCTTGGGTTTCCGTTTGGGGGCCTCTTGGGGCCTCTTGGGGGCCTCGTGGGGCCTCCTAGGGGCCTTTTGGGGCGGAAGGCTCGACTCTGTGGTTCTTGTTCCCCCTCTTGGAGCCGTCTCGGGACCCTATTGGACCGTCTTGGGGCCCTCTTGGGGGCCTCTCGGGCCGTCTTGGGGCGGTCTTGGGGGCCTCCAGGGCCAACCGAAGATGGCCCCAAGAACCCTGAATGGCCCCCCTATGGAACCGATCAGAAGGTACCTCGCTGGTTGCGGGCTCGTGTGATACGTTGGCCTTCGGTTCATCTCGCTATTGTTTTTTCAGGAGGGGAACAAGCACACAGACACAATTCATCGCCGAATGGGAAAATATGGGAAGTGGGATGTAAGTGAACGTATGGGGAATCCTGGGATGTGTGTACTTATTTGTGCGCCCCTGGGCCCCTTCATTTGTTGAGGAGCTGGTCAGTGGAGTGTATGTCCGAGGCTTCTTCGGATGCCCCCCTCGCCACGTCCCCAGGGGGCCTCCCGCGGCACTCTGGCTCTCTCGGGGGGGCCTGCGCGAGGCTCCCAAGGGGCGGCTGGGGGCCTTCTGGCAGCCGGGCGGTGCTGCGTGAGCGGATGCGGGAGAATGGGGAAACGCCATAGTCGTCGTCGTCGTCGTCGTCGTCGTCGTTGTCGTCGTCGTCGTCGTCGTCGTCGTCGTCGTCGTCGTCGTCGTCGTCGTCGTCGTCGTAGTCGTAGTCGTAGTCGTCGTCGTAGTCGCAGTCGTCGACGGAGAAGGAGGAGGTGGAGGAGGAGGAGGACGAGGAGGACGAAGAAGGGCAGCAAGAGGAGCAGGAGGAGGAGGAGGAGGAGGAGCCAGGATGAAGAGGAGAAGGAAGAGGAGGAGAAGGAGGAGAAGGAGGAGGAAGGGAATGAGGAGGACGAGGAGGAGGAGGGGGAGGAGGAGGACATGCAGGTCGGAGATGCGAGCCGTGTCTGCCGGGTATCCCCCTCTGCCGCCCCAGTCCTCGTCCTCATGCGGCTGCTGCTGCGCGCTGGGCGCGGGTGCCCGTTGCGCCCCCCGGCCGTGTTCCGAGGCCCAGCGTGGGGAGGGGGTCGAGAGGTGGTCTTCCTGAACCTCGTCCCCACCCTCCTCGTCCTCCTCGCTCTCCTATCCCTCTTCGTCCTCCCACTCTTCGTCCTCTCCTCGTCCTCCCACTCCTCGTCCTCTCCGACGTCCTCTCCTCCTCCACCCCTCCCTCCTCCTCCATCTCCTCCTCACTCCTCCTCATCTCCTCCCTCTCTCTCTCCTCCTACCTCCTCCTCATCCCCTCCCCTCCTCCAGCTGCATCTCCCCAACTCTCTCTCTCCCCCCCTCCCCACCTCCCATCCTCTCCCTCTCCCCCTCCCGCACCACTTCCCTCCTCTCGCACTCCTCCCCCACCTACTCCTCCTCCTCTCCTCCTCCCTCCTCTCTCTCTCCTCCTCTCCTCTTCCTCCTCCTCCTCCCCTTCCTCGTCCACCTCTCCCTTTCTCCTCCTGTTCCTCCCCTCCTGGTCTTCCTCCCCTCCTCCCCCTCCCCCTTCATCCTCCTCTCCTCCATCCTCTCCTCCCCTCATCCTCTCCTCCTTGCCCTGCCTCTCCCCTCTTTCAAATCCGCCAGCTGGCGGCAGTAGGGAGAAGTCGCCAAAGTAGATCCTCATCCTGTCAACTGCCTTCCTCTCCTCCCCCTCCCCGTCTTCGCTGGTCAGCACTCGCCCGCAGGGAGGGATCACAACCGCCCTCCATTTCGCCCCAGAAGGAGCTGCGCATAAGGATGAGGGAGGCCGAGCTCCGCCAGGCCGAGATCGAAGAGAAGCTGAACAGCGCTGAGGCTATGGTGGGGTAGGAGGAGGATGGGGAGGGAGGGAGAAGGACTGTTAGGAGGAGGGGGAGGAGGAGGAGGAGGAGGAGGAGCAGGATGAGGAGGATGAGGAATGTGGGGAGAGTGCGAGGGGGGAAGAGAAGCGGCAGCAGTAGTAGCAGCAGTGCAAGTAATGCCCCCCTTTGATTTGACGACCAGTCCGCCATGCACCGGAAGTCTTCTCCTCATCCTCCTGATTCTCCTTGTCGTCGTCGTCGTCGTCATTCTCCTTAGTCTCATGCTCCTTCTCGCTCATCCTCTTCCACCTCTTCCGACTGACGGGCCCGGGCCCACATTCATGTTTTCGATTCCGCGACGCCACCAGGCAACGAATTTGCGGAGTGCTGACGCGCAGACACTCCTGGCGCATTGCAAGTACGCATTCCCCAAACATTGCTTGCACCAAGGAGTTTCACTCGTCTTCTAAGGTGCAGTCGGGGCATTGGTTAAGGAATCTGCCCAGGAGGCTGCAGAGCCTGGAGGGTTCCTTATCTGGTGAGGGCGACGGTGGTAGCCATCGCCAATCCACGATTGGCTTCGCCGCCCGTCGCCGCAGCCGTCGCCGCTTTGCTTGAAGTCGCCGTCGCCGCCGCCGCCGTCGCCGCAGTGACTTGCCGTGCACTGCATTGCGTTGCTTTGCCTTCCTTTGCACCGTGTTGGCTTGCTTTTCTATGCGCTGCAGTCGCACTGCAATGCTCAGCATCTCACTGCTCTGCGTTGCGTTGGATTGTGCTGCGTTGCTTTGCGTTGCTTTGCATTGCTTTGGGTTGCTTTTCTTTGCGTTGCGTTGCGTTGCGTTGCGCTGCGTGGCTTTGCATGACGTTATATGGCGTTGCGTTGCTTTGCGTAGCGTTGCTTTGCATTGCGGTGCATTGCCTTGTATTACTTTGCATTCAGTTGTATTGTTTTGTACGACATAGATTACACCACGTGGATTCCACCACATTGTTTGCGCCACCTAGATTGTTAACACTGTTTGAAGTCCACGCCGGCTAACACATTTCTATTGCAGATGGTTGTCAAGTGTAGTCCTTATATTGACCATTTTCTCATCGTTCCTGTGTTCGGAGAGTTCGTGCACACACACACACGCGTTCCTAGTACGGGGGCTGATAACAACAAAGATCTGAGGAATTTCACCTTCACACTTTTGTAGTTCGACGAGTCGCACGCCTACGGAATATTAGTAACTTGTCCCGGTTACTTACTCAATGTTCCCATCGGTTTGCGATGCTTTTCGGTGCTTTGCATTGCGTTGTGTTGTTTTGATTTGTTGTGCGCTACTTCGCATTGCATTGCTCTGCTTGTCATTGCTTTGCTTTGTATTGGTTTGCGTTACTTCGCATTGCTTTGCATTGCTTTGCATTGCTGTGCATTGCCTTTCGCCACACCGATTGTGCAAAATGTATCGTGTCATCCAGGTTGTACCACATTGATTGCATCACCTTCATGGAAAGCACGGTTTGAGGTCTACGCTGGCTAACATGTTCCCGATGTTGATAGTCACATTTCTGGTATTTCTGTCGACGGTTCAAACATCGTTTCCGTGTGCGGAGAGCTCATGCACACACGCGCGGTGTCCCAGTACGTAGGCTGAGAATCGCCAAAGGCACGGGGTCCCACCTCCACGCTGTTGCAGTTGGATGCGTGTCGCGCCTCAGGCAAGACTACTCCAGATTTCGTAATAAAAGGGAGGGGGTCTGGACCCTCCAAGACAAGCCATTTCAGACCTCCCCCGAGGGAAAACCATCCAAAACATCGTCCCCAGACCCCCCCAGGCCCTCCAAGATAGCCTGGAAGAGACCCCCCCGAAATGAGACCCCCCTCCCTTTATCACGAAATCTGGAGTACCATTCTGCAAATCACTGGCGCAACCCCCCCACGGCTCCGCCGCCCCCCCCCCCCTTCCTTCGATGCGCCGGCGGCGACCCGCTGGCCTCTCTTGGGCCGCTCGAGGGGCACCGGGGGCCTCCAAGGGGCGCTCCCTTGGCATCGCTCGGGCGTGTGCACTTTTTTTCTCGGCGAGGGCCCTCGAGGAGCATCCTCGATCCTTTGGTGACAAAGCCACGCACTGCACTGCACTGCACTGCACTAGCCGTGCGCCGTCCGGCGCGTGGGCGGGAAAAGTATGACTGCAAGCGTTCACTGCCAATGCGCCTGCTAAACAGGGCAGTTGGAGGAGGAGGAGGAGGCGGGGGAGGAGGAGGAGGAGGAGGAGGAGGAGGAGGAGGAGGAGGAGGAGGAGGAGGAGGGAGAGGGAGAGAGCAAACAAAAAGCCACGCACGACACCGAACAAAAACACAGGGAATGGACGTCCGAGCGATGGCGAGCTCCACCGGGCCGCTCCCGGGATCTCTCGGGCCGTCTCCTGGGGGCCCCGCTGGCGGCCTGCCCGGCCAGGCGTGGCGCGCTCCCCGGCCTCGGGGGGGGCTTCGCGCGGGCAGCCCCGTCGAGCCGCGCGGCAGGCCCCCAGGGAGGCTGGGCGAGGGGGGGTCGCCCCCCTGGAAGAGAGAGAGAGAGAGAGAGGGATATATATATATATATATATATATATATATATCTATATAGAGAGAGAGAGAGAGAGAGAGAACCCGCAGGGGCCCGAGGACGCTCCCCACAGTGGGACTCTCAGGCCTCCGAGATGGGGTCCGAGCAGATGGGGGTCGGAGGACCGCGCCGCATCGCCGATGCATCGGCGGTGCGGCTCGATGTGGAGCCCGATTTTCTCCACGCCGATGGCGCGGGTGCATCGCTGACGTCGCCCACGCATCGGCGATGCACCGCCGATACAACGGCGAAGCATTGTCGAGACGGCGCAATCCTCCGACCCCATCTATTCGGACCCCATCTAGGGGGGGCCCTAGGGACGGCGGCAGATATGAAAGGCCAGTCGGACGATACGGTAGAGGGGAACACTTCACGACATTCCCTTTCCCCCCCCAGTTCAACGTTGGCACGCATGGGAAAGACCGCGGTCGAAGAGCAAGTCATCAGACCAGCCGCCAACATTGAGCATGGGGGGAGGGGGCCATTGACAAATGAATGCGACATGAGTGTTCGCTAAGTTCTTCCGAGGCTTGTACATAAGGGGCTACGCACACAACGCCGTTGCCCTGATGCCATTCCCTCGAACGATAAGATGCTAGGGCCGTCTTGACGACCGGAGCATGTGTGCGAGGAAGCCAACGCCTCTCTCTTCTCCTGCTGGCTGCCAGTGCAGGGGCGGTGGGCAGCAGTGGCACCAGGCGTCACCTGCTCCTCCTCGGCCGCTGCCCTCAACCTCGGGGGCTACTGATGCGCGACATTTCCCTCCTCTCTTTCCTCCTCCTCCGCCGCCTTCTCCTCCTCCTCGGCCTCCTCCTCCTCGGCCGCTTCCCTCAACCTCGGGGTCCGCCGCCTCCTTTCCTTCCCCACAGGCGGTGCACTTGCCTATTCGGCCGCGGGCCGGTTGCGCACCGATTCCGTGGCAGCCGTTCTGCAGGACGGCCTTTCGCAGGTCCGCGCTGCGTCACGGCATTCGGCCCCGGAGTGCGCGGGTATCTTCGGTTGTTGGAGACATTGGCCGTCCTCTCGGGCCACCGTGATTGCTGGGGTGCCTGCTCCCTGCGCCCTGAGCGGCAGTTGAAGCGGTGGTCGTGGTCTTTGTCGCAGTCGTAGGGATAGGAGGAGGACGAGCACGAGGAACATCATGTTCACGGTGATGTTGAGGATGGCGACGAGGAGGAGGTGGAGGAGGAGAAGGAGGACCAGTATAAACCCAAGACTCAGCAACGGTTTCGCAATACACACTCCCTCCAAGTTTCCTCTTCATAGGCCCCATACATGGTTCATTTTCACTGAAAGAAGTGCACCTTTGGAGAACAACCGTCTGAAACATCCTGATTGGTGTAATAACGCCATTCCTGGGATTTCACCTTCGCGAATCACAATTGTTCTTGCGTCTCGACGAGCCTGAGTCGTGCCAGAACACCATTCTTCGGACATTCAGCCACGAGTCAATAGAGCAGTTGAGCCCTGACAGTCCGACATCGTGCCAAAATACAATTTCCAGGACTTTAACCATGAGAATCCGTGAAACTCTTGCAAATACGAATGCTCGCGGCGCTAAGGCGAGAGCCACATTGAAAAGGAACCGCCCTCCATCCGTGAGCCTCTTACATGTTTCAAGACGGATGTGCGCGGCGCTCAGGCGAGAGCCACATTTTGGAAACTACCCGCCTTCCATCTGCGAAGCTGTTAGCACTGTATGTTTTTACTAAAGCGAGAACCACATGTTGAAAAGGACCCGCCCTCCGCCCGTGAAACTATTGCAAATTCTGAGCTTCAGAATTGCCGATGGTGAGGAAGTCTCCGGTGAAACGCCCGGCCCACCATTTCCGACCCTGGGGTGCAACAAGGAGGTGCGAGAAGGAACGGAGGAAGAGATTGACGACGACGACGGCGAGAAGGGTGAGAAGGACAAGGTGGGCGAGGACGGCGAGAGTGAGGATGAGGATGAGTAGGAGGAGGAGGAGGAGGAGGAGGAGGAGGAGGAGGAGGAGGAGGAGGAGGAGGAGTACGAGGAGTACGAGGAGGAGGAGGAGGAGGAGGAGGAGGATGAGGAGGAGAAGGAGTACGAGGAGGAGAAGAGGAGTAGAAGGAGGAGAGGAATGTTGGAGGAGGTGGAGGAGGGGAAGGGGAGGAGGAGGAGGAGGAGGAATCTGAGGAGGTGGAGGAAGGGGGGGGATGGGTCGCGTGGAGGGGCGCGATGGGGAGTAAGAAAGTGAAGCGATGAGGTGGCGGGAACGTGTCGTAGAGTCCGTGCGCGCACGGATGCTGCCAGCGGACCCGAGGCGAAGGAGAGCGACCTCCGTGCTCAGCTCCTGGAGGAACAGTTCAAGGCGAGGGAGGCGCTTGCGACCTACGAGATGCTGACCCAGCAGGTTGATGGGCAGCTTGTTTCTGGGAAGGGGACCCCGTGAGAGAGGTACCAGGAGAAGGAGGTGGACGAGGAGGAGGAGGAGGAGGCGCACCAATCTCGCTATAGGCTGAAAGGGTGCCTAAGCCCATCTTTAGAGATGAAGCGGTCACCGGCGAAATGCTGGAGACGGTTGGGCAGCTTACGGGAGAGCCCGTTACCCCCCAAATTAGCAATTGGACGACAACGGGCCACATCCTTCGAGTAATTGGAATGTGGTCGAAACCAAATGAGAGTGGTTTCGGTGGAGCTAGTCCATGGGTGGTGCCATTGACCGTGGTGGACGGAGCCAACGGGGAGGATGTGTACCCAGACGCCCTAATATGAAGTTTCGGCCATTTCATTGAGCCCCGAGGATGTGGGCGCTCCTGCGTGCCCGAACCACCGCCCTGGCTTCTCGCCTGGTCTGGGGGGGGGGGGGGGGGGCTTCACCCAACGCCTCTCCCCCGTTGCGGCTCCCGTTGCTTGGTCTGCGCAGACGTCGGCGTCGCCCCGACGAGCTCTCAGGGGGCTGGGGCCCGCACAAGCTCCGCGGGGGCGGGTGGGGACGGGAAGTCTCCCCGGGACGCCGCCCCGGCCTCTGACCCAGAGTGGGGGGGGGGCCTCAGGACGAGAGCTGGGCCAATGTTGTCCTCCGGGGATCCCGTGGGGGCCCGGGGCCCGCGCCGGCCCCGGGGAAGGGCGGCGAGGGGAGGCACCCCACGGGCGCTGCCCCAGCCTGTGCCTGGTCCCCGGGAAACTCCCTAATGTCTGGATTTGGGTCGCCTGCTGTCCTTGGGTGGCCCCTCCCTCCCTGGGGCTGGGGCCCGCTCGGGGCACGGGCTGGGCGGGTGTACCACCTCGGCGCTCCTTGATGTGTTCGTGCCGTGGCCTCCTCTGCCGCCGCTGGCGCCCGAGGAGGGGTGGTGGTCAAATCCTGGTGGGTATTATGCTGTGGCTGGCCAGGGAGCTGCCCCTCATCCGTACGCTCTCGGCTACTCCTCATCATTAACGGAGGGGGGGGGCCCCACCCCTCTCGCCACCGTGGGTTTGCCTCCAGGACTTGGGGGGCCTTTGCGATCTCAAAGAGCCTCCAGGGATCTCCAGAGGTTTCAGAAGGTCGCGCCCGCAGCACTTCAGAAGCATCGGGCTTCCAGGGACTCCAGGACCGCGCGGACTCTGCTATCCCTCAGGAACAGGGGGCGGCAGATTCCCACCTCTTGGGCCAGTGTGGACCGACCTCCAGTGCAGGAGGTTTCTGGGGACCCATGCGAGCACAAATAAATCTCCAAGGACCTCCAGAGGTCTCGGTGCGGCTTCCGAGGGCTCCGGGCCCCTGGGCGGAAATGGCTGCGGCTGCCGTTGCAAATGGCTGCGGCTTTGGCCAGGGGGACAACTCCCCTGGTGCGGAGTCGCCTCGGCGGCGCCTCGGCGAACGCCTCGGCGGCGCCCCGGCGGCGCCAGGGGCCATCGTAGCCTACGTGCGGACCGGTGAGCCCCGTGTGGGGGTCTCTCCGGGCGAAAGGGAAGCGCCCGAAAGACCCTCCTGGCTGTGGCCACTATTGAGTGTTCGGGGCCAGTGCTCTGGAAGCACACGGCGTTCGGGCGCTCCAGCTCCCTGGGTGGCATAGCTGCGGCTAGTCAGGGTGGCGACGGACAGAAATGGCTGCGGCTGTGGCAAGGGGGACACCTCCCCTGGTGCGGACACGCCTCAGCAGCGCCTCGGCGGCACCACAAATGGCTGATGCCTTTGGCCAGGGGAACCGTTTCCTCTGGCACGGAGACGCCTCGGCGGCACCATGGGCCATCGTAGCCCGCTTGCGGGGCGGTGGGGCCTTAGTGGGCCCCCGGAACGGCAGGGCCGTGTTTCAACGTTTCCGAAAGAGTGCCCCTTGAAGGTGGAAGCTGCAAAATAATTGCGACTGGAAACGGCAAAACAACTGCTCTGGGATTGGAGCCAGAAGCGGAGCCGGAAAAAAGAGGGCGACGGAACCGGCAAGCAAACGGCGTCGGAACTGGCAACAAAACGGAACCGGTAACAAGAACGGTAAGTGTGGGCCCTGTTTGGGGGCCTCTTCGGGCCAAGGGCCAATGGGACCGAACGGCCCCCTTGCCGCCCATGGGGCGGCTCAGGTGGGGGAGCCCGTGGGGCGGTTAAGGCCCATGTCTCTGTGCCCAAGATCTCCGAGAGCGTTCCGCTACTCGCAAAGTGCCTACTCGCAAACGTCAGAAAAAACACGTCTGCTGTGACGTGATGTCTAGTAGTTCCCCCCCGGCGCATCCAGGCCAGTTGCGAGCAGTCACTTTGCGAGTAGTGGAGCGCGCTCGTCTACAAGAGCGCAGCGTCCCATGTATAGGGGAACAGAAAGTCATATAAACATAAAAACTCGGAGGTCCGCGCGGATTTCTCGGATCGGCGCTGGGGCCCCCCGGCGGCGCCTCCGGCGCCGCCCCTGGCGCGCTCCGCGCGCCAGGGAGGGGGGTCCAGCGCCGCTCCGAGAAATCCGCGCGGGCCTCCGAGTTGTTATGCTTCTGCCAGTTCTTGTTCCCCTAATGCGGGGGGGGCCCGTTCGACAAGGGGGGCCGCGCCCCCTGGGGAAGGGGAGCGCCCCGGCGGCGCCCGGGGCTGCTGTGAGCCCGAGTGTGCAGCGGGGAGGTTGGCCCCGCTTAGGGGGTCCTCCGCGGGCCAGGGGGGGCAGCCCACACTCAGGAGGGAAAGAAGCACACAGACACAATTCATCGACGATCCCCAGGAAAAGATGGGAAAATATGGGAAGTGGGGGGGGAAGACAGAAACCCCAAGCATATGGGAACATATGCGGAATATGCTGATTCGTGTGTATTTATTTAATCGCTTCGCTCATTCCGCCGGCCCTCGAGCGCTCTATGGAGCCTCTTTGAAGCCTCTTGGGGGCCTCTTTGGGGCCTCCTAGGGGCCTCTTGGGGGCCTCTTGGGGGTCTCTTGGGGCTCCTTGGCGGCGTCTTGGGGCCCCCTTGGGCCTCTTGGGGGGCTCTTGGGGGCTCCCGGGGGCCTCTAAGGGCCGAGAGCTCGAAATTCTGTTTCGTGAACCCCCTCTCGGGGCGTTCTTGAAGCGTTCTTGGGGCCCTCTTGGGCCGTCTTGGAGGCCTCTGGGGCCGTCTTGGGGCTGTCTTGGGCCATCTTGGAGCCCTCTTGGGGGCCTCTTGGGGCGATCTTGGAGGCCTCTTGAGCCGTTTAGGGGCGTCGGGGAACCGAAAAGGTTGAAACGCCCAAATCTGTCCAAAACCTATGGGAAAGCATTGTTTGTTTGCCTCTTGGGGCCCACTTGGGAATGCACTTGGAGACCTCCTGGGGATCTTGGAGGCTCCTTGGGTCATCTTGGAGACGTCTTGGGCCGTCTGGAGGCCATCTTGGGCGTCGTGGAGCGATATTCGGGCGTCTCGGACCTCTCTTGGACCGTGTTGGGGGCGTTCTTGGGGCCCTCTTGGGCCGTCCTGGAGGCCTCTGGGGCCGTCTTGGAGCCGTCTTGGGCCGTCTTGGGGCCCTATTGGGGGCCTCTTGGGCCCTCTTGGAGCGATCTTGGAGGCCTCTTGAGCCGTTTAGGGGCGTCGGGGAACCGACAAAGGTTGAAACGCCCAAATCTGTCCAAAACCAAAGGAGAAACACAGTTTTTTGCCTCTTGGGGCCCTCTTGGGAGTTCTCCTGGGGGCCTCTTGGGGCATCTTGGAGGCGCCTTGGGCCATCTTGGAGACGTCTTGGGCCGTCTGGAGGCCATCTTGGGCGTCGTGGAGCGATATTCGGGCGTCTCGGACCTCTCTTGGACCGTGTGGGGGCGTTCTTGGGGCCCTCTTGGGCCGTCTTGGAGGCCTCTGGGGCCGTCTTGGAGCCGTCTTGGGCCGTCTTGGAGCCCTTTTGAAGGCCTCTTGGGCCCTCTTTGGGCGATCTTGGAGGCCTCTTGAGCCGTTTAGGGGCGTCGGGGAACCGAAAAGGTTGAAACGCCCAATCTGTCCAAAACCTAAGAAAAATCATTGATTTTTGCCTCTTGGGGCCCTCTTGGGAGTGCTCCTGGAGGCCTCTTGGGGCATCTTGGAGGCTTGTTGGGTCATCTTGTAGACCTCCTGGGCCGTCTGGAGGCCATCTTGGGCGCCGTGGAGCGATCTTCGGGCGTCTCGGACCTCTCTTGGATTGTGTTGGGGGCCTCTTGGGGCCCTCTTGGGGCGATCCTGGAGGATCTGGGGGAGTGTCCCAGGCGTGTCCCGGGCGTGTCCCGGGCTCCTCTCGGGGTACTTTTGATCCAGGGACCCCCAGGGGCCGCCCCGCGCGCGCGAACCAGAAATACTGTTTACTGGTTACCGGAGATCTTAGCACGCCTTTGGCCCGTTGGGCCGGCGAATTTGTGTGTCCCAGGGCCCCTTCACACACGCCCCCCCTCCCCAGCTCCCCGCGTGGGGCAGGGAAGGCCCCGGGGGCGGGGGGCGGGGTCCTTTCGGGCCTAGGCGACGCAGCCCGAACGACCCCTCTTGGTCCTTGAGGGCGACGTGCCCCGTTGGGAGGTATTGTTCGGATAAGGCGGCGCTCCGGGGACGCATTCCCATGCTCTGCGGCGAGCGAGGGGGGAAGTGAGAAGGAGAAGGCCTTCTCAGAAGGCGGCCGGCGGCGGGACTTTTTAGTTGCCCTTGCGCCTTCTGAGAAGTTTTCTGCATCTTCGGGGAAGGCTTGGAGCACTTGTCAGAAGGCGGCGGGGATGGGGCCTTCCGAGCCTTCTAAGAAGGCCCGCCCCTTCTCACTCCTCCCAGGGGCTCGCCGCCGACATGCCGTCCCAGTGGGGCGTTCCTTTGGGCCCGGGGGGGCAGCGCCCCTGGCACGCGGGCACCTCGGCGACGCCAATGGGCCGTCGCAGCCCGCGTGCGGAGCGGTGGACCCCGCTCGGGGGGCCTCGCAGGGCCGAGGGGAATAGCCCGAGCGATCCCCCGGATCCCCGTGGGGTCAGAGGCCCCGCTGGGTGAAGGCGGGGGGGGGAGCGGGCCAGGGGAGCAGCCCGAGCCCTCCCCCCCGTCCTTGGGGACCAGGTCCCCTGGTGCGGAAACATCTCGGAGGCGCCAGGGGCCATCGCAGCCCACGTGCGGGGCGGTGTGAGCCCCGTTCAGGAGGCCTCTCAGGGCCAGGGGGACCAGCCCGAACGACCAGAGGCTCTGGTGGGTGGGCGGGGAGGTTTTGGGCCAGTGGGGCAGCCCGACCCCTCCCGTGGCCTATGTCGCCCCGGTGGCGGAACCCCGGCGAGCTCAGGAGGTGTTCGTCGGAGACGAAGCGTCTCCTTATATACCAACCCGTGCGTCCGCCCTGAGTACTCAATTCTAGGGCTGTGCAGACCTTCGGCACGGGGCGGAAGAGGAGGAGGATCATGAGGAGGAGGAGGAGGAGGAGGAGGAGGAGGAGGAGGAGGAAGGAGGGAGGAGGAGGAAGACGAGGAGGAGGAGGAAGGAAGGAGGAGTGCGTGAGGAGGGAGGAGGAGGAGGAGGAGGGAGGAAGAGGAGGCGGCTCGCTCCCGGAGGGGGCGGCGCGGAAGTGGGGGGGGTGGGGGAGCAGGGCGAAAGCCTCCTCGGGCGCCCGGGGCAGGTGGAGGAGGCCCAGATCGAGCGGGACCTGGCGAACGACAAGGCGGCGGGCGCCTCCGACCTGGAGAGGCAGCTCGAGGACGAGGGCCTCGCTCGCGCTGTCTTGCTGTCGTGCTCGGTACTGCGGGCGCCTCGGGGCACGCAGGGGCACTCCTTCTCCTCCTCCTCCTCCGCCTCCTCCTCCTCGTCCCCCTCCTCCTCCTCCTCCTCCTCCTCCTCCTCCTCCTCCTCCTCCTTTTTCTTCTCCTCCTCCTCCTCCTCCTCCTCCTCTCCTCCTCTCCTCTCTCAGCCTCTCCGCTTCTTTCCGCCTCCTACCTTGAGCCTCTCCTCCTCCCCGTCGTGGCGGGGGTGGCGCGCGCACGAGCTCGCAGCCCCTGTCGGGCTCGCTGCTCGCTGCTGCAGCCGCTCGCGGGCGGCTCGCGCACCGAGCCGCACCGCGCCCGGCCGTGCACGGGGCGGGGCGCCTCCGCCGGGAGGGCCCCCGCCTGCGGCGGGCCCTCGCCCTCGGCGGAGGCCGGCGGGGGGCGGCGGAGGCGGAGCGACAGCGCGAGCCGCCGGCGGAGAGCGCTGAAGGTGCAGGTTCGACTGGACGTAAGAGTGCAAGCTCTGTTCTAAGAGCATTGTTCGGGCTTCTGTTCTAAGGGCATTGTTTTTGCTCTTTTAGAACATTTTTGGATTCTACGGGCACCTCGTGGTAGGACAACAGGAATGCCGGGGCGGTCGGTCCCTGCCCAAGAAGGTCCGACTGGACGTAAGAGTGACCCTTCGCCGGAGTGACCTGTGGTGCGGGCCCATTGGGGTTCCCCGATCGCGAAATGCGGTGCGACAGTAGCGTCTGCGCGCGCATGTCTGGTCCCCGCGCGGCCCCCAGAAAGCCGCGCACCGAAGGTCACTCTTACCCAGGGTCACTCTTGCGTGTAGCCGAGTGCAGGTTCGACTGGACGTAAGAGTTCAAGCAGTCGCGGAGCGTCCTGGCGCGCCCATAGCCCTACCATTAAGTCGGGCCTGTCCCTCTACAGGGGGTGTAGCCCAAAATCGTCAACATAATTATTCTTGAGTGTTGCTTGACCATTTTGGAGTATTTTAGGGGTATTTGTTTCGTCGAAAATCCCCCTGTAGGGGGACACGCCCGACTTATCCCTACCAAGCTATGTTCTAAGAATCTTTTGTGGTTGCTACGAAAGGTTCTCCGAACATTTCTGGCGGAGGCTTTCCTGTTTGATCACATCGGGTTCCTGTTCTAAGAGTATTGTTTTTGTTATTAGAACATTTTTGGGTTCTGCGAACACTTCGTGGTAGGATTATAGGAATGCCGGCCGGGACGGTCGGTCCCTGCTCAAGAAGGTTCGACTGGACGTAAGAGTAACCCTTCGCCAGAGTGACGTTCGGTGCGGGCCCCATGGGGTCCCCCGATCGCCGAGCGCGGTGCGACAGTAGCGTCTTGCGCGCTCGTGTGCTGGTTCCCTCGCGGCCCCCAAAGAGCCGCGCGCCAAGGGTCACTCTTACCCAGGGTCACTCTTGCGTGTAGTCGAAAGGTGAGATTCGGATGGCCCAGTCGACCTGCCTCTAGAGCACCAGTATCTCGGGCCTGGGCCCAGCATCGTGCTCACGCTCAAGCCACCAGCGTCTACGGACACGCTGGGTGCCGTGACGTCTATAGACGCTCTCGGGACTGGTACGCCCATGGGCAGAGTTGCCGTGGCTTCCGTCGCATCACAGGGGCGGAGAAACGGTAGATCCGTCTGCAGTACAGTCGGGGGCTTGAAGAAGGAACCCTTTTCGTTGAGGAGGGGCTCCGTGTTCCTTGATTGTTTCACA